CCTTAGAAGAGCTATCTCAACATGCCACATACTATTTTGGGCCTCTGAAACTTTAACTGAGGTAGAAGGCCCCTGAATCTGTCACATTTATTTCCCACTCCATGACCTGCAAATGTCTTAACAGTAAGTCCAGAGTAGTTGCTACTTCACACTTGAGCCATCCAATTAGCATAATGTCATCAATGCAATGGCCAGTGTGATACCTCATGGAAGGGAAAGGTGATTAGGATTCCTGGAACTAAATTATGATATGGGCCTGGAGAGTTCATATACCTCTAGAATATGACAGTGAGGGTATATTTCTGGCTTTGACAGATGAAAGAAAATTGCTTTGGGTGGGGCTTATTGACAGGTATAGAGAAAAAAGCATTTGCCAGATCAATAGACGCATACCAGGTACCAGGACATATGTTAATTTGCTCAAACATTGAAGCCACATCTGTTACAGAAGCTGCAACTGGAGTCACCCCTAGTTAAGCTTACAATTATCCACTGTCATTCTCTTAAGATCCATCTGTCTTTGGCACATGCCAAGTTTGAGAGTTACATAGGAGTGAGGTGGGGATCCCCACCTGTGCATCTTTCAAGTCCTGATGGTGGCACAGATCTTTGCAATCCCTATAGAAATGCTGTATTACTTTTGATTTGCTATTTTCCTAGGTGTAGGTACCTCTAACATTTGGCCTTCCATTTGGCCTTTTCCACCACAATAGCTCCCACTCCACATGAGGGAATTGATTGGGAATTCTTCCAGCTGCTAAGCATTTCTACTCCACTTATACATTCTGGAATTGAGGAAATAACCACAAGGTAGGTTCAGGACTCCCTATGAGTCAGATCTGAGTTAAAATTCTATTAATCACCTGATTTCTGTAAACCCCTACTCTGACTGGTGGGCCACAGTGACATTTTGTTTCTCTTAGAATCAGCAACAATTCATAGTCACTCTGTGAAATGTCTGATTTTTCCTTTTCCCCAAAGCACAGTTTCTCTGGTAAAAGGCTGTAGGTCACTTTGCAGAAGGCCAGGAGAAAGATTAATAATAAAAATTGTTAGCAAACTGAGGGCATTCCTCAACCAGATGTGGGATGTGGAATTTTGAATCTACAAATTGTCTCAAATCTGAGAATCGGTTGATTGCTACAACTGTTTTTGTCATTTAAATCAGATTTTGTTTCCTTGGTCTAGAACTTTGCTGCTTATATAGATCAAGTTAAGAATTTAATAGGTTTCCTATCTATTGCATGCCCATGAAAACCATGATCAGCCCATAAAATATGTAGGTCAGAGCAAGTCAGACTATTCTGTTTTTCCTCTTTGCTTCTGCTGTTGCATTCAGGATTGCCAGAGCTGAGTAGCTGTGATTTCCAGGGCAAGGTCTGGCCTACAGAGAAGAATGATCACAGAACTCTTCAATGATTCCAGGGCTCCCCTGGCAAATTGATTTCTAAAAGTACTGGTGTCCCACCTGGCCACTCTCTTCAGGTGGTTTTGCATGCTGCTTATAGCTTCCCTGGCAAGTGTTCCATGTTTCTTGCATCTCTAACTTTCTGGGGTCTCCACTGCAGCTTTGGCTCCTCTCTCACCATGCCACACATCATTCTGTAAGGGTGTAGTTTAGTGTGTGGCCCACAGTGAGTGCTCAGGAAATATTTAAATTATTACATGGATAAATAAGAAACTTCAACTCAGATGTCCCCTCCCCAAGGACACCATCCTTAACTACAAAATCCAGGTTACCAAGCTTTTCCCTATGCTCCTTTAGCAGTTACTACTGAAATAGGATTTTTTTGCCTTGTCTTTCTCCCCATGAAATCACCATTCTGTGAGTTAATAGTTTGTGCCTCTTTTGATCCCTCATATCCCTGTGCCCCATGCAAGATCTGACATGATGCAGAAAGAATTAAATGCCTTGGGGATGGAGATGACTGTAGAACACCATAAAAAAAGAGAGGCTGGAAGATAGCCTTCTTGTGTATAGCAAACTCATACTTAAGTCTTACATCATCTCCTTAGGAAAAGCTGGCCATTTGGCCCAGAAGAGTTTACTACATTATAGCATTTTACCCACCCTGTATGTTTTCCTCAGAGCACTTATCACCATGGTATGTTATAACCATCACAAGGGTTTAAATTGGATCTGCAGGGGCTGGGGATGTGGCTCAAGCGGTAGCGCGCTCGCCTGGCATGCGTTCGGCCCAGGGTTAGATCCTCAGCACCACATACCAACAAAGATGTTGTGTCCACCGAGAACTAAAAAATAAATAATAAAAATTCTCTCTCTCTCTCTCTCTCTCTCTCTCTCTCTCTCTCTCTCCTCTCTCACTCTCTCTTTAAAAAAAATAAAAATAAATTGGATCTGCAATATTGGGAGGGAATATCCATCTAGCACACTGGTAGAAAACAGATGGTCAATAAATGCTTGTTTAGAGATTAACTGACCAAGTGATACATCAAGGTGTTGGTCCAAAAGAAAGCTCTAATGGACAGACAAGGAGTTGACTTGGCAGCAGCATGTCATACCAAACCAACACAAACTGGATGGCTTGTAAAGCAGAAGTTGGTCTGAGAAGATTCATTGAAAGAGCATTTATGCAGAGCACAGTGTGCAGTGGGCTTTGGAGGTGATGAACCAGGTGGAGCAGGTAGAGAGAGAGGCAGTTGTCAAGGAGAATGCAACATACAAATAGCCTGCAAGGGCAGTGGGCAGGGTGGACAGTGATCAGGGCAGGGACCCAAGGCAGCTGCTCAAGAAGAACCCCATGAAGCATGCATTCAAAGCTAAGCACAGTGCCAGAAAACAAGTCTCCAAAAATTAAAAGGGATTGAAGTCATGCAAAATATGTACCCCAACCAGCATGTAATAAAGTTAAAAATCAGTAACAGAAAGTAAGTTTGAGAATTACTTTCTTTAATTTCTGTAACAAGTGTATTGTTTACACACTACTAAATAAACAAAGAAATCACAAGGGAAATTAGAAAATCTTTTCAGATCAATGAAAACATAACATGTAGCTAATGCAGTGATGAGGAAAAAGTTCATAGTTATGAATGCATATATTAAAAAATGATCTGAAGTAAAAAACCTAATTTTACCCCTTAAGGAACTAGATAAAGAACAAACTATCACCTTCAAGACACTTAGGAGAACAGAAGGAAAAAAGAAAAAAAAAAAAAAGACAAGCAAACTGAATCCAAAGTAAGCAGAAGGGACAAAGTAATAAATATTTGAGCAGATATTAATGAAATAGTATAAAATGATAGAAAAACCAATGAAACAAAACAAAAGAGTAAATGTTTTCATTTGAAAGGAATAAAATCAATACCCATTTAGCAAGATCAATTAAGTAAAGTATGCCTTGGTAAAGGCACTCATGGGATGAGCCTCATTAGCAGTGTGATAAGGACAGAACTTACTACGAAAGTTCAGAGGAATTTGAAAGTAAAGGGCCCTGGAAAGGCCCCTGGAGCAGAAGGCATTCAGAAGAAATAGAACAATGGGCAGAATGCACTTGGAGGTAGGTTTGGGATATTCCCAGTGAGAGGACACCATGCAGAGAAGCTTCACCAGAGGAATGTGTTCTGTGGAGGAAATTTATAGTTCAAAGACATTCATAAGCAAAGAGCAGTCCTCAGAGGATTACACATGGGGATGCATGGGTAGGGGACCTTATGGGTATTGACTCAGGATGGGGGACAGGAAATGGGAGTAGGAATACAGGAGGTCAAATAACTGGGACCAACTTGCTTGGTAGGAACCTGGTCTGTTAGGTGATTTCACAATGACACTACCATGTTTTCCTTTGTGTCACACACTATCATCAACTGAAATACCTAGTTATGAGCTACCACTACAATCCTTTTCTCTTGCATTAGTAGGTCTCTTTGCCTAATTGCATCCACTGCAGCCAAAACTGGGTTGAGGGTGGGGTGAGGGACACTAATACAATGGCCCCCAGGACCTTGCTCAGTGGTGGGAAGAGTTCACTAGTGCCATGTGTTCCATCTTTGGACTTCCTGTCCCTGAGTTGGATCAAGACTTAGATGATATGTAAACTGCATTTTCTAATGATGTGAAACTTGGAAGCATGGCTGGTTTCATAGGCAGAATGACAATTCAATAGGACCCTGAAAGTTTAGAACATTGGCCTTAAGGAGCAAGATGAAGCAGTCTTGTCTTTTGGTACACAGCTGGAGTAATGAGATCCAGTGTGTGTTGGGGGGCAGCTTTGAAGAGTGCCTTTGAGAAATGTATATTCAGAATCAATGTCAAGAAGAGTTGAAGGAACCAGGAGTGTTTAAATGGAAGGAGTTGACTGACAGACCCTGAGAAGTATCTTCATCTATTTTAGGGGCTGGCATTTGGGAAAGGAATTATAGACCACCACTGGGTGACCAATTAAAGGGAAATACAATTTAACTCAATTGAAGTGCATTTTCTAAAACTGAGGCTGTCCATAGACAGTATGGGCTTGGAGAGGAAGGAGTTCTTGATCATTGAAAATGTGTAAAAATAAAAGGGGGGTCACCTGTCTGTGAAGGATATAAAGGGAAGGATGTATCCAAAAGAATATGATTTTCTATATTAAGATTTGCTGATGGGCTGGGGCTGTAGCTCAGTGGCAAAGTATCTGCCTAGCATGTGTTAGGCACTGGGTTCGATCTTTACCATCACATATAAATAAATAAACAAATAAATAAATAATAAAGGCATGCTGTCCATCTGCAATTATAAAAGAAAAATTTAAAAAGGTTTGCTGAACCTAGAACTCTATATTTCCTCTGCCTACATAGTTTCTGGATCTTGCTGTAAGTACTTACTTAGTTGCTTTTGTAGAGGAAGTCTTCAGGTAAATCACACAGCCAAGTACACCAAGTTACTAAACTCAAAAAAAGGAAATCTTAACACTGACATGTACATTTTAACATTTATTATAATTGTGTACACTATTGTGGATTAAGCATGCACAACTAGAAAAACTAAGAAATTTTATAAAAGCAACAATGTAATACAACCATTTCTCTTCCTTAAGTCTGAAGATTTCTGTGTCTTTTAAGACATTTCTGAAAGAGGCTGCTTTGGATCAAGGTCAATACTGACATTACAAGCTGTCTTTCAATATCTTGCAGGTTGGTTCTAAAACTACCTTAAAGGAAGAATATATCTTTAGGGTGGGGAAACCAGCCTATCCTGGGCTTCTTTACCTTGTATTATGTCTGGGAGGCCTGTACTGAGACTCTGTAATGGCACCTCTCACCAAAGGAGTGACTTCTTTCTCAATCATGGTGTTAGTGCTTACCATGTACTAAGTCCCATGTTGGAGCTAAACTTCAAGAAGACTAGTTAATATTTAGTTTTGGTACATGGCATATGGAACTATTCTTCTCCTTCAGAATAAATCCAACTCACATCTATCAAATAAATGGAATGTTCGTCTCTGATTATCTGACAGAAATAACAAATCTACAAGCCAACATGTACAGGGCTCACAAACTAAAGAAAGATGGAGGCTCATTTTATAATTCAATCAAGAGGCCTTCATTTTTTATCCAAAAATTCTAAGGTGGTTTTACCTCTTGAGGAGTTTACAAATTAGTGCTGGGCCCAAAGTTTGCAGGTGACAAGTAACCTAGGCTAACCGAAGACTGTCAGCTAACTGCATGGACAGGCCTGTATCTTTCTCTATTTTCCCAGACAATGAGTTCCCATGATCTGAGAACCTGGGCCCCAGTAGTTGCTGCTGGCTTGAGTCTGGACTGAAAAACAGGAAGGCATTAAAGAGTGTGTACTCAGAGTAGCTGGCTGATTGGAGCTTTCCCTGGGTTGATGAAGTTCTCTATGGGAACTCTGTGAGTCAAATTTACCCCTGGTTAAAAGCACCTTGCTTTGGGGGAAAGGGAAGAAGGGCAATTTGGCCCTTATGGTGCTTCAGTGGGGGTCCAGGATGCCCACAGGACTGAGATTTCACATCCTGCCCCTTTGTAAGAGTATGCCTTGGTGGAGGCCAAAGGGGTAGTGTTACATGGCAGGATTCAGATATCTTCTTCACAGTGGTGAGCACATTCTAAGCACTAAATCAATTTTTTGTTACTGCTCCTGGAGAGAGCATGGGCTATGGAGAGGGACAGTAGTAGTGCTGCACAGTGTTCTTCAGAAGGCAATGACCACCTGTCTGAGTCTTGGAGACAAGAATATTCTCTTCTCAGGATTATTACAGCAATTAATGCCATTGCTTTGTAAAGATGCACGGTATGTAGGGAGGCTTCAAAGATGTTAGCTACTTTTCTCTCCTCTTAATCTTACTTTGATCTATGTACCTTGAAAGCCAATTGAGAGGATTTCTGTGTAAGGCCCAGGAAGCAGGAATTAAGGGCAAATACACTAATCAGTTATCAAAACTCAAACATACACAGACATCCCTTTGGTCAGTAGCCTCCTAAAATCATATCCTATTGAATTTGATCCTAACTTACTAATATGCGCCCACACACCTTTAGGGAAAAAGTCCAATATAGCAAAAGGTGGATGGGAAGAGGGAATTAAAATCTCCTATATAACTCAATCAAAAACAACTAACTACTTCAAAGAATGTATGGAAACTTTAAAACATATATATGGCAAATAGACAAGGTAAACATTAGCCTATGCCAACCCCTAGCATTCAATGCCTGCAATTTACCCACAAGGGATCGTCAACAGTCTTTAACTTGGCCCCTCAGAAGCCTCAAGGGAGTCAGCACAAACTGAACTCCATGCTTCTTCCCATGCCTAACACACTAGGCTACCTATACTCATCAGAAAGCCAGTCTGTCTTAGGAATGCTAAGATGGAATTCGTTTCAAGTCTTTGATGGAGCCTGAAATGAGATTATGTATGTAAAGTGCCTCCTAAACTATAAAAAGCTACACACACAAGTAATTATCATAGCATCAGTAAGATACAATACTGGATGTAAGCAAGTTCAACCTAAGAAGGTAAGAAGTATGAGGAAATCATAGGGAGGAAGTGAAGGGAGAGGATCCAAGAACTGGGGACAGCCAAACTTGTCCGGGAGTCATCAGCTTCTGAGCATCTTGGGGAAGCTAAAAGAAAATATGAGTAGCCATAAAACTGGAAATATATGTTCAATCCAACAATCAGTCAGAGGCCCTTGATGTGTGTCACTGTTCTAGTGATCAGGAACTAGAGTCCAATTAAAATGTGTCACCTGTTGAGAAGATAACCTGCATGTAGCTAGGGGAGAGTCTGGTTTGCATCCATTCTGATTGCCTTCAAGGGAAATATTATGTTCCATGCTCAGACACTGGGGGCAATTCCACTGTCTGTTAACTTAGAAGCTTGTTTTACTGACTACCTTGGCTACTGAGTCCTGATCTGAAGCTAATCAATGGTAGAAGGGGTCCAAAGCAACTGGCAGAGCTCAGGCCCAGAATCTGAAGACCTGGGGTTAGGTCCTGATACTACCATAAGCCAACTAGGTGTTTCCTCCATACCCCTTCCCTTTAAAAGTTTTTATTTCCTGGCTACAAATTGATGCTAATAGAGTCCCAGTAGCATTCCAGGACAGCTAGAGGGCTCAGTTGGGGTGTTTTATGTAAGGTGCTTCTAGAGAGGAAGAGACTGTGACTCTGACAATTTGGAAGAGTCCTCAGGGAGGGACTTTGTTCATGTCAATTAAGACTTCAAAGTATCATAAGATATAGGAACACAAAGACTCGGCCTCATGAACAAAAAGGCTGGAGGGATAGCAGGGTCCTGGGCTAAAACCCAGGGAGAGATCAGGGAAGATTTCTTCCCCCAGTGAATCTCTTGGCTGCTCGTCCCTTGAAATGCCAACACCCACCTAGAAGAGCTTCTCATAGCATTTCCCACAGTGGATGGTGTCTCGGTGAATGAAGATCTGATCCAGGAGATCACCCATTGGTTTACTACAAATTCCACACTGAAAGAGAAAGCAAGGTGGAGATCAATACACAAAGTGAAGCAACATGAATGAGTGGAAGGGGAGGGGGTGCCTGAGCAAGGCAGGAGGCAGATGCTGTGAGCCAATGCTGCATCCTGGACTTCCAAGCAGACAACCAAAAAAATGGCAAAAAAACAGAAGCAAAACTCAGACTCAAATCAAAAAACACACAAAAACTAGCTGGCAGGATGATGACAAAGTGGTTAGGAGCCCAGGTTTCAGAATTCAGTCTGCATTTAAAACCTTGACTGTACAAATTATTAGCTGGGTGAACTTGGGCAAGTTATTGAAATTCTCCCAGCTTCCATTATTCCATTTCCTCATCTATAAATGAGCAAGATATACTCTTCAAGCTCATGAAGAACATTCAGAGGCATAGGCCATATAGAGCACACAGCCTGGGGTCAGGAATAAGCAAAGTGTTCAGTAAGTGCCAGCAGTCACTGCTTTTGTAAGAGAGGCTGGAAACATTAAGGGTGAAATTGAAGGTCCAGAGGAAGGTGATATGAGAGTCCTACAAAATGGAAGGATCTTTTAGCAGTCCAGCCCCTCCAACTTCATGACTCACAAACCTGCCTCCCCTGGCATGCCAGTGGTGAACCTTCCTGGCACTGGTTGTTGAGGCAGTGTGGCCTGTAGACAGTCTCAAACAAGAAGAGCCAAAGAATCCACACATGTCTTGGTCTCCAGCCCTTTCCAGGTCCCCAGATTGAGCTTTCTGGTTTCAACCTTTCCGAAGGTGCTGGGAAGGGCAAAGAACAATTTTGCGGCTACTCCAACTCCCTTTGTTCATTCTTGTCAAGCACCCTTCTGATGATAATCTAGCTACTTCTACTTTTCAATTAATTTGAAAATCCTTCTGTCAATTTTAATTCTCACTGTAAATCAATTAGCCCTCTACTGCATATATTATGTTTCTATAATTTTAGTTTTTGTGAACAAGGACTTGAACCTGAACTTAACTGACTGATAGTACCTATCTATTTAGTTGATCACCTCTGGATACACAGAAAACTTATTATAAATGCTTCATGCTGTGGAAAATGGGGGATCCTGAAGAACTGCTATGATGCTGCAGGCCACGAGTGTCCTATCTTTCTGAAATAGTGCCTCTTTAAAATTAAAACAACTTTTGACAAGTTCTTTTCTGCATTCCAAATTTCCTTATGCTGACAATGAAAACTGAAAATCTACTCCCTAGCCTGGTGGCACCAAGGAAGATGAGAGTGTTGTGTTCTCTCACTAGCAGGGCCATGCTAAATCTATAAATGTATATGATCTGCCTTTTGTTTCTATAAAGTATAACCACTCCTACAGAACCGGCAGAGAAGCAATTCTAGCTGCTTCTTCCCAATTTAATCAAATTGCACAAAAATTCACTGAAGAAACAGTTTATATGAATGACCCTGAGCAATGTGGTGGTTTTGGGGAGGGGGGGCAGAAGAATGCAGCTGGGATGCCACTAGCTCTGATATCACAATCTGAGATTGGGATCCTTGGATTCTAAATAGCTCTGTGACCTCTGTAACCTTGTGTTCACTGCCCATGTGGTGACTCAAGCATTCAAATTGCCCTCCAGGCATCCCCCAACCATCTCAGGCCCCACTGTTCTTCCACAGCTCCAACTTCCACACACCTTATGTGAACCCAACTAGGCCAGTTTAAAATTCCTGCTCAGCACTCAGTCTCATTCTTGCTTCATCAGCCTCACCTGGTGAAATCTCCACCCTGTCCATGCAAGCCCCTTGCTGGGGAACCCACATGCCTTGTTGACTGTTCTAGGTAGGAGTTCATGAGCATTCACTGCAAGTGGGCACCGCCTGGCCTCCATTTCTCTCTGGTCCATCTACCTTCCCACTCTCTGAGGTGATATTTCTTCCCTTCTCTTCTTTCCTTAACCTCCAGCACTACCCACCTTCTCTCACTCAGATATATGAACATGCTTTGCATCAACTGAGAAAATAGGAAACAACTGCTAAATCAAATTTGTTCTTCCACCACTCAATCAGGGAACCTCTCTGCACATGACCCACATAGTCAGCCTTTGCTAACCATGCTGTGTCAAACAGGTACCCATCCTTCTCTCCTACATGAGGATGTCCTACTCCTGCACCATCAGTGTTTGCTCTACACTGGATCATGCCTATCAGCATCAACACATGCTATGGTCTTCCTCCACTACCTGACTGCTCTCTCAAGCAAGTCCTCCAGATCTCTTCATTTCCACATGTTCCATTATCTCTTGAGCCCACTACAGTCAGGCTTTTCTCCCCAGCCCTGCAAAGTCTCTGAGATTGTGCACAAATGTACACAGGAATCAAGACTTCTTCACATTCTCTGAACCCATGAGACTCCAGTGCTCTGTAGGATGTTCTCAGCAGCACCACCTGTTTTTCTTACCTTAAAGCAATATTCATGGCAGCAGATGCCAAGATGTTCTAGGGTGATCTTTGGACAGTCTTGGATCTCTCGGCTGCAGTAAGTACAGATACCTCCAGTTGTTCTATGAGAAGAAAAACAAAAACCCAGTTTCCACACTGGCATAAAGACTTTTGATGTGATACAGCCAGGCCTCAGTTTGCTGTCAGGATTCCCAGCCTGACATCTTTTTCTGGGAGCAGAGATACAAGCTAGACCAGTTCACGGCTGTTGTAGGCTCTTGCACTACTCTCCCAAACGAGTCCTGATGTCCCTTCTCTTTATGCCTGGGACCACTGAGCCTTGGTCCCCAGCCCCAATACTCTTAGACCCACACTTACCTTAAGTCTGCCCGTAGTGACTACTTGGAGCTTATGCTCAAGTTCTAGGTACTGATTTCTGGGTCAATTATCTCCCACATCCCAGGATCTTTGCTTTGTTCTCAAGAGTCACCTCTGCCTCTTCTCCTTAGACAGGACCTATGAGGGTGCCTGTTTGCTCTCCTCCTATATGCTGAAATTAGGAGTACCTACTTCCAGAGATTTAGGCCTGCTTCTGACAGTGGCTGGGGTAGTGCTAGCAATCTGGGGCCATTTTAATTCCTTTCCAAGGCCTAGTATTACCATAAGCTGGCTCAGAGTCTACTCTCTGGATGGAAGCATTTCTACAGACTGTTGCCCTCATTGCACCCTGTTCCTTTGTATATTATTGCCACTTTCAGCTTGTGTTTTTTATCTGTGCATGTGTGTCTGCGTATGTGTGCATGTATGAAGTGTGCAAATGACTAAGGTGATCTCCTTGGAGAATTCCCTTTCTCCCTCTAAGCCCAGCAATTAAACAGTAATGTTTGACTCTAGATTTAGGAGATGTGTAGTGGAAAGGGGGACCCCCAGGGTATCTGGTCTGCCATACTGCTAAAGTGGATGCCTCATTTCATTTGTTCCTGTGGAACTGGCTAATTCTCAGGTTTCTAACCAACCTGCTTCATGTAGTCTACTTATGATTTGAGTGTGTCATATGATGGAAGTTTAGTCCTCAGTGTGGCAATGTGGCAGTGATGGTACCTTTCAGGATTTGGGGAATAGTGGGAGGACTGTGGCAGGACATTACCCTCAAAAGAGATTAATGTATTCTTGCAGGATCAGATTAGTTCCCATGAGAATGGGTTATTATAAGGAAACATGGCACTTCCCCTGGATCCCTTTTCTGAGCATGCCACTTGCCACTCTTACACATGTTCCTGTCTTTATGATGTCTCACCTCCCATGAGATCCCTTACCACTGCCAAACAGATGTTACTGCCATACCCCCAAACCTCCTAAACTGTAAGCTAAGTGAACCTCTTTTATTTATAAAATAACAATAACCTCTGGTATTTTGTTATAGTAACATATAATGGACTAGGACACTGGCCTTCTCTACTAAGACTTTATCTGGTGATGTGATTTACGTGGTTATCTGGGATTCAGATAATAAATGAGAATAATAAATAATAAATGCTTAATAAATGAGAAGGGATGTGTCAGAATACAAACATCTCTAACCTGGGCTTTAGTCCTGGCTCTGTCCCTAACTCCCTGTGTGAATTAAGGGTATGTTACATATCCTACCAGACCAATTTCCTTCACTGTAACCTGAATAGATTCAATCTCAAAGACTCTTTAACACTCTATTCCAATAATTTAAAAATAGAACTTGTCATTAACATTATCTTGTGACTCTGCTGATATCTAATGATGACTTTTGAAACTGCTGGATGAAGTGCCCTTCATTCAATTCAATGATTCCACTCCACTTTGCATTTTTAGTTCTGTCTGTTTTCTGCCTTGTTAATAATAGCAGCCCATTTTAAAAAAATCCCCCTCATCATTCTTTTGTAGTTATTCTTTTCTTTTGACTTCTGGTTAGAGGTACTAGTTAATTAGGTTCTACTCTGAGGAATCACTACTGCTGACATGAGCACCTTGTGCTCTCAGACACCACTTCCTTTTCCAGTAACCTTTTTTGTCTACCCTTTGCTCTTACTTGGGTTCAAAGGCTTTAGTTGTCTCTAGTGTGGCATCCTGATAAGGGAGGTACCACCCTCCAGTGTCCTGCACTATTGTGACAATCCTGTAAATATGTTGGAAGCTGCAAATCACCAGATAAAACAAAACACATATGGTATGGAGCTCCCTAGTATGAAAGCAGACATACCTCTCAGAGTGTGATGTGTTGTCATATAGAAGTTTCTTCTCCATGTCAAATGACTTCTCGATGTTGCTGACACTGCAGAGTATGATGGAGAAAAGGAGGAAAGAAGATGGAAGCCAGATCACTATCATCATGATGCATAATGGACAGTTTTCCAATTAACTTTCTGGCCACAAGCCAGATGTGACTACATTGACAACCATCACCTCTGATCCTAAATGGTACTTGATACTATAGGGGCTGGTACCAAGGAGGCATAATTCTCTTTGATAAGAGTTCTTTCATGGGGCACAAAGAACCCCCCCCCCTTGTGGCAAGGGAGATGACAAGGGTGCGGTGGTTGTAATTCTGGAGGCTGTGTATACCATGAGGAATTTTAGGTCCACTGACCAACAGAAACAGAACTTTTCTCCCCATATATATGTCTGCATTACAATGTGATAGTCACCAGAAGCCTACTCACAACAGAAATCAGACACTGGGGATGGAAAAAAAAATGAAGGAAAGATTTAATATAATACTTGTCCTTGGGTTATCAGGTGGGAGTAGGGGTAAAATGGGTTTTTTAAAATTTTGTATTCTCATTTTCAATAATATTGCAATTTATATAAAAACTGATGGTTAAAAAGTATTGCCAGGGAAGGACGACTAAATAGGTACAAGCCTTGAGATAATCCTTAATGAAGCTGCCATTCCCTTAGGAGTCAACTGGTGGCCCTATGAGGTAGTTAGGAAAAAGCTGCTCAGAGGCTAGGCAGAGTGCCTAAGGTCATACTCAGAATAAAGGATTAGCTAGATTTTCAACCCAAGTTCTCATTTCTCACTGCCCACTAAAGAAAAGTCTATAGGTTTGTTCATAAGACAATATTTTGACTAATGGTTAAAGTCAATTTTAAAATATATTTAGTTGTCAAAGTCTGAGAATTAAATTTAACAGACTGGCGGGACAAGTAGAACAAAAAGCAGAAGCTGGACATAGTTCAGTCAAGTGACTCTCAGAGAAGCAAATACCAGATGGCAAAGACAGCTTTCCCATTGCTGTTCTGGAGGCTTCATGAACATTATTCCTAATCTCAAAACCTCCCTGTTATAAACAAGGTTATAGAGACAGAAAATAGATGTGTGGGTGGTAGGGATGGAGGGGGGCTGCTAATATGCTTCTGGTTTCTTTCTGGGGTGATGAAAATGTTCTAACATTGGTTAGTGGTAATGGCTACATGTTTCTATGAGTATACCAAAGCTCACTGGATTTATAAACTTTAAAAGGAGTAAATTATTACTAAATAAAGCTATCAAAAACTAAGTAATTACAATTTCTAAGGAATTATAAATGAGTGAACTGAGGCTCAGAGATTGAACATCTTGCTAAAAATGAGCCAACCAATGCGGACTGAGCTAGAGCTGTGCTCATCAATTCACAGCCCTGGTGAAAGCCAGTCTGCAAGCCCAGAGGCCCAATCCTGTCCTCACCCCTGCAGTGAGATGATATGTCATAAAAAAATAAAAACACCATTTCCTAAAGGTACCCCTTGTCAGTGTGGGCAGGTAGGTGGTACCTAGATGACACAGAATTATCCTTTCCTTCCATATGGCGTCAGAGAGCAAGCACATAAAAATATATCAGTGAAAAGTTATAGATATATCAGGAACGCTAGTTGTTGTGTGTTCAAATGAGGCATCCTGGCATGAAAGGGCATGGAAGCCAAAGAAAGAAGCCCTGTGATCTGGAACAGAATGGAATGAACTAGGTGGTCCCCAGGGACACCATCAGCTCTGTAAAAAGGGATATACTTGGGGTTTTACAAAAGAAAGCAACAAGGACAGGTAGAAAGGGATGGCACTGGAAATGAGGTACAGGATAAAATAAGTGTAACAGGAAAACTCAAAAATCACCTTTTCAGGTAGAACACCTGAAAATGTATAAATCACAACTGAAGATAATTGCACTAGTCACCCATTCAACATGTGATTACACAGAAGCTACTCTGGCCCAAGCCCTTGATGAGATACTGGGGAATGGGGAAATACAGGAGAGGAGGAAATATAGGAAAAGGCCATGACAAGGAAGGATCTGAGGCTTGCTCTTACCTGCCATAAGATGAAGATGCTGGCTTCCCAGAAGACACTTCACTAGCATTCATGTACTCCTTCACGAAAAGAATCCCTCTGCTGCACAAGGAGCAGAGTAGAACAGAAAGAGGTATACCAAAAGATTCCAGAGGACTGAGCCTGGCCCACGGTGAAGGTCAGTCCAGCCAGGCTGGGTTGAAGGAACTGCAGAAGCTCATGGAAAGGTCTAGCATAGAGGTGCTGGTAGGCTCCCCGCCCAATACACCAGACTCCCAAGGCAGCAGCAGATGGACCTGCTAGGCTGCTGACACTATTGTGGACTGAGGCTAAAAAGTCTCATCTCACCTTGTATTTGGACCAAGAGCTCTAGAATGAGGCTCCCTACAAGCAACAGTGACACGACCTTCTTTGTTCAGATCTCAAGACCCCACCCTTTCCCCAGACTTCTGCACTTTAGTCCAACAGGTTTTCAATCCCTTTTCTGGGGCTGTGCTTTCTATCCTCTCTGCCCATATCCAGGACATCCTCCAAGACTTAAATGCAGAGTGCCAGTCCTTTTCAGCCAGTGCCCTTCCTGGAAGCACTCAGCTAGTACAAAATCTCCATGTCAAATCTCACCTTTCCCTTCTCACTTGTCGAGTTTCAGATGCCAAAGAAGTCATCTTATTCGGGAAGGTTTCTGGCAGCATTGGAAACAAGTTATGCTTCATGCTGGGCTCAGCATTGCCCCAAATTTGGCCCTCATTTCCATCCTGCACATTTCAGCTTGCTGACCTGATATCAGCAGAGAACCCTTTGGTCCCCACTCAACACATATGTAACTCTCTCAATAAGCTCCCTGCAATGTCATCTATTCCTGCAGGCTAAGAGGCAGCCAGAAATGCAGGTAAGGTAGAGGGCACATGAGAGAAACAGACATAGGCCTGGCATTCACAGGCCTTCATTGACCACCCCATGCCAATTGCACAGGCATGTTATCAAGGTCCTCTGGAAAGAGCCTTTCTGCTGGCTGTATCCACTAATCCCTGGGAAGTACCATCTGAGCTTCTTACTGGGTTAGGGAGAAGGTGTGGGTGTGCTATAACTGTGTCCAGGCTACCAGTAGGAATTTATATAGTGGTGAGTGCTGGGAGTTGGGGGAGTCATTTCAGGGGAAGCAACACTGAAAAAAAGCTGGGTGTTTTACCTCTAAAGAAGAAATAGGGAACCCCCTGTGTTCAGAAAGCATCTCCTAGGTTGCTAGGTATCCCTTCTTACGTGGTTGAGCTGGAGTCCAATTCAACTGGGGGAGCTGGAATATAAACATGAGGTTGCTCAGAAGCACCAGTGACAGTAACAGTGACCATGCAGTTTGAAGGACTTCTCACCCTGAAATAGATGGAGAAAGGGGAGCGCATATCAACACAGAGACATGACATTTTCCTGAGCTAAATGTGGTCTAATCTCAAACTCCCACTTCAATAAGTTTTAATGAATGCTGGTGGTTTTGAAACAATACCTGCAAATCACTCATATTCTGCATTTTTGTTTTGTTTTGTTTTTTTGTTTTTTGGGATTGAACCCAGGGGCACTTTACCACTGAGTTAATCTCCCCCCCTTTTTTGTTTTTATTTTGAGCCAGGGCCTCATAAAACTGGTCAGGGCCTTGCTAAGTTGCTGAAGCTGGCTTTGAACTTGTAATCCTCCTGTCTCAGCCTCCCGAATGACTGGGATTACAGGTGTGCACCAGCATGCCTGACTCATCATTTGCTTCTGAAGGCTTCTGAGAGATCAATGAATAGAACTTCTCATTTTGCATATGACAAACCCCAGGCAAAGTGAGTGGATGTGGGAGGCCAACCTTACGGGTGACTGAGTTACACTCCCCAGCTGGGTGCTGAGGCGCTCAGTCACAGAAATGGGTGTGTCTTGCTACAGCCCCATGGGTGAAGCTATGCTCACCTGTTCCTTTGTAATATAACCCCTTGCCCTGTTTAGGATAGAATCTTCCATGGAAGTGCCTTGTGTGTGTCCCTTCCTCTTACTGTGCCCTTGGGTGTGGCCTACCCAGGTGTCAGTCAACCTGCTGAGAGTGGCCATCATGAAGATAGATTCAGCCCCTGAAATCTGACCCCTTGCCTCATTTGAATAGCTGCTCCTCAATAAAAGGGGTCAGCATGTGCTCTTGCTCTCTTTCTGCGGACCCTTAAAGTCAGAGGAGCCGTCACAGCGACCCCAAAGAAAAAGGTATTTGTGTCTCTTGTGGGGTTATTTCGTGCAGCCCAGTTAGCCCAGTTTAACTAGAGTGACCCCTGAGCCTTTTAGTCATGAGAACAGAAACCCGGCAAGTGGAGACATGGCCCAGGTCACACTGTGAATCAGTGGCAAGACCCTGATCTTCCAATATCCACTTTGAATTCCTAACTACTACCAAGGGCTTTGACCTATGTGATTCATTCATGCAGCTGCCAGGAATGCAACAATCAGGAGGAAGCATAAGAGGAAGACAAAACCCAGCCCAAAGGCTAAGCCCAGCTCACCTCCTTACTGGAGGAGACACTCCATTTTCTAGCATCAGCTTCTCTTCCCCTATCCTGCAGAGGACTCTCAGGAGTACATGAAATCAAGGGGCAGAAGGCCAAATGAATAGATGTTGATGAGTAAGAAAGTCAGGTGCACCTCATTTTACCATTAGCAGAGACAGGAAACTGACAGATCTGATGGCTTTTTGAACTTTCACACCTTGGCTGCAACACCAGCCTTGTTCGGGAATCTCACCCCCAAGGCAGCTCACAAGGCCCTTCTTTGGAAAGGCCCCTATTGGCTCTCACTCTGTTTACCACCATGGCACAAGTCCCATACCCAAAGTCAGCACAAATGCCCACTGCAATTCAAGACATTCTGTTAGGCACCACCAGTGATTACCTATTTTTTTCTTCCAGCTCATCCTGTAGCAGCCTCTGGCCACGGTGTGTACACGATACTCACTGTCCTGGCCTGATTTGAGCTTCATTGAAACATACTGCCAATCACACTGTGCTATGGATATGGCTGCAACCACCTGGCCCACAATCTGGGGTACAACACCTTTGCCAGAGAATCCAGGGCCTAAGATCTCAACTAGTATAACAGGGGGTAGGAATTAGAACAATCATGACGTATCACCTACCTAGCATTTTGTCTTACACTATCAAAATGTCATGTGCAACTGAAGCTCCAGATATAGTTTCCTAGGTGTACCAAACTTATCATGGCTTTATAGATAACAAGTGAAGGCCTACTCTCCCACCATGGATAGTGTGAGACACCCCATCTCAATGCACCCAACCACACTGCACCTATTCCTACATCACCCTGTGATGCAGGAATGCACCACAGAGACTAGATGAAGTGCACTGGATGTAAAAAGGAGTTCTGATGGGAACCTGGAAAGACAGATGGGGAATAAAATGCAGAGCTAAAGAAAAACGAATTGCTTACAAGGGTAAATAAGATCCTCCACTGACTAAACAATTAGCAAGTTTCTGGTATGCTGTGATCCATGTCTGGGGAATAGCTGAGGGGATAGCAGAACTGAAAGGGCAAGGCCAAAAAAAAAAAAAAAAGAAAAAAAAAAACACCTCCATTTGGAGTCCTCTAGAACTACACTGTTAGCAGCATGGGCCCTCCAGTGCTCCTAGAAAACATCCCACGTCCCCCCACCAACAGCCTCTTCTCCCTAGCCTACAAGACCCCACAAAGCCCAGCTCCTTCCCCTGCTAACCTAACTTCCTACCAACTTTCAGGCCTTCTTCCATGTCTTCTCTGCCCATGTTGCTTTCTCCCAAGATCTTTGAAAAGTAAACTCCTTCAGGTCTTAGTTTAATTATTCCCACAACAGAAAATCCTTGTCTGACCATCGTGAATATGGTGTATTTTGCTTGCACCCCTCCCTGTGACTGTACTGGATTTTTTCTTTTCTGGGATTATCATGAATAGATAGGTGGTATGAATATCATGGTAATTAAGAGTGCAGTCTCTGGTCTCTGTTGGGTTCTAATTCCTGTTGGACCACTTCCTAGAACTGAGATGGGTCAGAGCAAGAAGTAGTTCAAAATCAGGTAAGGGGACAGGAAATGCATAAGACATGCTTAAGACACAATACATAAGAAATGAGCAATCTTGAAAATAAGGTAAGTCTTGCCTTAGATCAGAAACCTCTACTACATATAATGATGGATCTGGAGTCAATGGTGGGTTCCTAGGAATGATGAATGTGAGGGACAGAAAATTCTATCACAGAGATGGAGATAAAGATTACCTGGCAGGAATGGGAAGAATGTCATCAAATCATGACATTCTCTCTTGCTCTCTGTCTTGCTAATCTTGATCTGACAGCTGTGAAGCCCTTTCTGAGACCACACTTGTCTGATCCAATAACTTCTAATTTCCTTGTATTTTTATAAATGAAAATAGACAGAATATGTGCTTAAACACTGATCCATATCCTGTGTCCTTTATATATTTCATTTAGAGACAGGGTCTTGCTAGGTGGCTTAGGGCCTTGCAAAGTTAGTAAGGCTGGCTTTGAACTTGTAATGCTCCTTCCTCAGCCTCCTAAGCTGCTGGGATTACAGTTGTGTGCTATTGTGCCCAGCTAGTGGGCAATTAATTAGCAGATTTCTTACAAAAATATAGTTAAAAAAACTGAGAGCTAATTTTCCAATGTGAAAAAATATTATTTAAGCTATCTATGTTTTGAAGCTGGAAATATTGTGATTTGGTGTCAACAGGCACTGCTTTACTGAGGCCAGGAGCCAGAAAACTACCACTTTGGGAAATGTGAGCTACTTACAGGAAAGCATAGCAATGGTGCTGAGTGATCCCTGGTGTCCTGCTCCTTACTGGCCCATCTTGTGTCTCAGAAAATTCACAGACTCTATTTCTTTGGTCTACTATTACTAGCGTTTTGCAATTAGTGCACAACCCTAGGTCATCACCATGGAAGTGAGTTATTGTCCTATGTATGGTTATTCTGGTGATGATGGCAATGAAAGCTGTCATCAAACTTGTAGCCTTTATTTCTGGCAGTGAGTCCCATAGACAGCAGGACATATGTTCCTAAGATCTTTTAAGTCCTTGAATGGCAAAAGTACCCTGAATACTGACCCCAAAACAGGTTTTTAGGCTCTAACTAGATATGAGATTACATGGCTCTCTGTGCTGGGCTTCGTCCAATGAATTTGCTATTATTGTTCCAAGTTGAAACCTTTGGAGACCTACCCCTGGGATGGTTATTTGTGGTCTGCTTCACTGTGGTTCCTAACCACTCACACCTGCATTGGGTTAACAGACCTGTTTAGTTTGTGTGTTTGTCTTGCCTTGCTGCCCCCTATAAAGCCCTGGCTGCAGACAGCAGGAGCCCAGTGGAGTTTAGACCTTACCTGCTGGCAGAGCTCTCCAGTTCAACAAGCTGCTCAGGTGCAGCAGGGGTATTCTGCCACTCTAGGATGCTGAGATCTACAGGTTGTGGAGTGGGTGCAGCTGGGTCTCCTTGGCCAACCCCCAGGACTTCAGGCGTCTCCTGCAAGACCTCACAGACTTTGGTGGCCACATTCTTCTCTTCATAAGCCGCTGAGATGCTGAGGAAGAATGAACACACTATGAAGGGAGTGCTCACTCTCTGCACGCTGGCTGTCACATCTGCTGGGCATGGAGGGGCTCATGTCCTTGAGAGTAGAACACAGAGGAGCCAGAAAAAACCCATCTTGAGGGAGTGGGCGGCATCCTCCTCCACAGGACCTTAGCACCCCTGTTTCCTTGTCAGTTAAAAGGCAAAGTTCATCTTGGTTCAGTGAAATGTTGACAGTCTTCTCCTGGCTGGAAACACTCTGGCATCCCTGTCTTGTTTCCTGTCACTGTCATATTTCCTTTCTGCAGTCCTTCTCCACCCTAACTCATGTGCCCCTCTTAAAAAGATGTAAACTATCCAGGCTTTTCCCCAGGCCCCAGTCCTTATGAAGACCTGTGCACATGGCTAGGACCCACAAAGTCCTGGGAGTTTGAGCAGTAGTTTCCTCCCCAGGATATCTTGGCAGGCTCGGTTGGGGCGAGAGCAGGAGCAGACCCAACAAGCTCACTACATTCTCAAGTCTGTTGAATTCACGGAGGAGGAAGGGCTCTGAGAACCTGAAGTTTGTAGGGCGGGGCCTGCCTGCGGACGGGCCCATCCGCGATCCTTGCGCGCCACCCCGTGGCAGGCAAAGGCACGGCTTCTGGACTAGCTCCAAAGAGGCTCGCCTCACCCCTGCGGCCATTTCGCCTGGCCAAGGAACGTACTTTCATGGGGCTCCGGAAAATGGCGGCGCGCAAGCGTACTTGCAACAGTTATCCCTATGGCCCAGGCTACACGCACAAGCAAGTGCACACGTATTGAGGCAGGTTTGTTGTCACAGCTGTGGACCCCCATCAAGTTACTGTTAAGTAGTCACAGCTATTACTACAAACCGATAGTATCTTCATCCTGTTTTTACAGATGAAAATCAAGAGGGGGTGTTTACAGCTAGTAAATGTCAATTGGGATCGGGACTTCTTTCTCCCTTGTCCACCGCGTTCTACGGATGATGGTGGGTTGGAAGTTGAAATTAGAGTGATCACTTAAATGTTTCATTTAAAACAACAGTATTCCCCCAACTTACCCCCTTGTCTTCCCTTTCCACACGCCAAACACCATAGAAAGAGTTGTCTACATTCACTCTTGTCCCTTGCCATCAACATTCCACAGAAACTGTTACATCTTTCACAAAACTGTTCGTGCTGAATTAACTTCCCATCCCTCAACTGCCTGGCTCCTACATATGGTATCATAGCCACAGCTCCCACACCATGTGACTCACTACAACACAGAACTGGTCTCTACCTTTCTCAACCAGATAACTCTACTCATGACACTCTTAGATGTCCTGCAGATGTCAAAACTGCTGTAAAAGTTTACACTGGCAATTTTGTATTTGTCTTAGTCATCACAAACTGTTGGCAGGTGCAGGTGGCTGTTTTTGCATAAGGATCATCCCTGGAACACACTCCTGTAAAGTTTCTAACAACTCCAGTTCATTGGAACATTTGGCCACTTTCTGTCCTCTTTTCATTTAATTTTTTCCTCAGAATGACACACCGCTTAGCCACCTTGCCCTCTAGCTATTCATCCCTCATCACTATGACAGGCTTCTCTTCTTGAGCCTTAACTTTTAATACACAAATTCCTCTAAGGTTCCAAACTGTGTGTTCTATTCTCACTTTATGTGTACTCCCAAAACAATATTACTCATTCCCAAGGCTTTCATTGCCACTGACATACAGAGGACTCCCAAATATCTATCTTCAGTCCAAACCACACCTCCACATTCCAATCCCATTTGTTTATGCATCTGTCTCCTGACCTCATCTCTTACAAATCCCATAGTCATCACACTTAACATGCATTAAACATACCATCTACCTCCTTGATTAAGACCCTACTCAATGATGATGCCATTTTTTCAGATGAAGAACAAAGATGCAGAATTACTGTATTAACATATTTTTATTTACTTGTTTTGTAACACACAACACTGTGTTGGAACAATGAATTAGCATACGTTCACTTTATGCTATGCCCCTATGGACAAAAATGTCCAGAATCTCTGGAAATGGCAAAATTCTCCAAAGGATCACTTGGCGCTTCTATGGCCTCTTTGGGAAATTTGGGGTCTCCCTAAACTGACTCATCCAATATTTCCCCCTTCTCATCACCCTCTCCCCATATCCCCCTCCCTCCATTCCATCAACTTGGACCTTTCTGTCACCTACTTGAATCCCTTCATCTCTCTTTCTTCAACACCAGTTCCTGTCAACCCTGCAACACCTTCTTCTTCTTGCTCCAGCCTCTCAACTGAACACAGTCACTGGAGCTTTAGACACCTTTCCAGCCTTTCCAGGGCCTGGGTTACCCCCCCAAAGGGGTAAACATCACTGAGGCTGAAAAACATCACTGGAATCACTTTGGGTATTGCATCCACTAGGATGGGCTTAAGACACCCCAATATCTGCTTGGTGCCTCTTCTGGTCCCTCACCCCAAATTTACTCAATAGCCTCTGAAATACAGATGACACAAAAGGGCAAAAGAAAATCTCAAGAATCTACCTGGGGGATACTTCAGCCCTCATATTGAAAAGGAAACCTCAATTTGCCGCCTCTCCCAGAAATATAATCCTGGGGAAAATTCACCAGCATGGGACGCAGGATCACAGCCAGCTGGCTTATGTAAACCACTGAGTTTCATATTTCTGGGTTTGTGGTAAACTCATCCTTGAAAATTTAGAATTAAAGTCATAAGGTCTGTACAGGTGTGTGTGTGTGTGTGTGTGTGTGTGTGTGTGTGTGTGTGTGTGTGTGTTTAAAACATTTGAATACTTCCAAATGATATTACAAAATTAATTTTAAAATCCCTTATCCTCAGGGCTGAGTTTGTGGCTCAAGGAGTAGACTGCTCACCAAGAATGTGTGGAGCACTGGTTTCTATGCTCAGTACCACATAAAAAAAAAGAATAAAGGTATTGTGTCCATCTACAACTAAAAATATATATTTAAAAAGAATACCTTATCTTCTTTTCTTATTTACAAATAGGCACTTATATGAATCAAATAATCGTGACTCCCATAAATTAAGGAAATAATATTTCCAATGTAAACAAAAATAGTGTTCATATAAAAATTAACCCAAAGCATTTAAAAATTGAAATTTAATTTAGGTAGAACTTTGCCAACACCAGTATAATAAAAGGAGCTGTTGTCTGAGTTATCAGATTACATATAATTCAAGAAATTATATATACATATATATATAATATATATTATATATATACACACACACACATATACATACATACATATATATATATATATATATATTTGGGTGTATACATGTGTGTATGTGTGTGCACATATATGTGTGTGTATCTGTATATATGTATTTTTTTGTGCCAAAGATTAAACTCAAGGATCATTACCACTAAACCACATCCCCAGCCCTTTTTATTTTTCATTTTCAGACAAAGTCTCACTAAGATGCTGAGGAACTTCTAAGTTGTAAGACTGGCCTTGAACTTGCCATCCTCCTGCCTCAGCCTCCCAAGCCACTGGGATTACAGGAATGCACCAACATGTTTGGTCTTTTATTAGTTTTTATTTTGAGGCAAAATCTTGATAAGTTGCTGAGGCTGGCCTCAAACCTGCAATCTTCCTGCCTCAGCCTCCTGAGTCACTGGAATTTTAGGTATGTGCCACCATACCTGGATAGAATATATTTTTACTGAACTGTATATATACTTCCCAGACTTAAACAGGGTTAATATTCAGGTAAGCTAGCATTATATGCATTAAATGTTTAAATTTTTAAAATGCAAAATTGATTTTAACCAGGTAAAAATCATTATTCTGACAAACTTTATTTCAACCATAACTATGTTTTATAATATGTTAGCTTTAAGACAGTTTCTAGGGGCTGGGGATGTGGCTCAAGCGTTAGTGCGCTTGCCTGGCATGCGTGCAGCCCGGGTTCGATCCTCAGCACCACATACCAACAAAGATGTTGTGTCCACCAAAAAATAAAAAATAAATATTAAAAATTCTCTCTCTCTGTCTCTCTCTCTCTCTCCTCTCTCACTCTCTCTTTAAAAAAAAAAAAGACAGTTTCTAACATCTTTTGGTAACCTAAAACCTTAGACTTAATAAATATTTGTTACATACCTAGATCATTTATAAGTAGTTAGTAAATCTAATCTTTAAGTTTATGTCTTTTTGTTTCATATTTTCTATGTTCCAGAAGGCTATTTTGGATTTCTTAATAAACATGTTAATTTTTCCACATTGAAAATTATACTATAATAAGTATATAACTATAAAAGTTAAGCCATGTATACTTATATGTTTTACTAGTGTGCTCAAAATCCTGATCCAAAACTATCCAAAATTACCTACCTTTTGGTTTTCTCTATAAAAATAGAAGTTTATAATGGCTAAAATTACATTCAGTAAATGAGAGTACTAAAAGTAGTAATGACAAAAGGAAATAACTTTGTGCAACATATGCAAAGTATATTTTTGTTAAGGAAAACAACAATTTTATCCTTAACTAAAATGACTAATGGTTCCAAAAATTATGAAAGACAAAATGTAAATGGATATTTTTAAAATCATATAAAGCACGAACATCATTAACCTAAGTACATGTATGAAGACACGAATGGTGTGACTCTAGTTTGTATAAAACCAGAGACATGAAAAATTGTGCTCTATTTGTGTAATATGAATTGAATTGAATTCTGCAGTCATATATAACAAATTAGAATAAAATAAAATTTAAAAAAAAATAGATCATACAAAGTATACAGATAAGGAATTTTATTTGTCATGGTAAAACTTATTAAAGTTTAATGTATTTAAAATAAAAAAGTAAATGTAGTATAAAATATTACACTAATTCAAAAATACAGTTTGGCTATGTTAAAACAAAATTTTCTTGGATCACTGGTTTGTTCTTAATAAAAAGTTATAAATGGTCTTTCTTCTGAGTAATATGTCTAAAAAGCAAAGATTTTGTCT